GTTTATTGTGTTTTGGATAGTGTTCGTGCACTTTTCCAAAGCAGTATTATTGGTTGGTGTTTCGGCCTCCAACTCTCTTAGAGCCTCTTGGAGAAGGTGGGCATAGGTTGCCCTGTCTGTCTTCCTAGGGTTCCGAGATAGCGTGTAGATCGGCAACATCAAGTTTATTTTGAACGTTAACCAGCGGTGGTCTGACATCGAAATGTTTTCAGACACTTGCCAGTTTAGAATTGATTTATAGAAAGCGGTTGTGGATAAAGTGATATCTTTTAGTGTTTGACTGCGAGAGTTTAAAAATGTTGGTGTGGTACCTTTATTTACTCGTAAAATACAAAGATTTTTGGTAATTATATTATAATTAAATGACTTACTTACCTCTAGCGTTGTTATCCTTACTGCCCCAACTGAAGTGATGAGCGTTTGAGTCGTAACCTATTACCAGCTCAAACTTCTGTCTCAGTCAGTATTCAATCAGATCTTCTATCTCTTTGCTGGGTGGTGGTCTGGTTGCGTCGGAGGGGAGGTATGCAGATGCCAGGACTAACGTTCTCTTTTCCCTTTGGATGGCGTATTCCATCCTAATCGCAGTTAAATCGGAGGTGGAAAGGTGTGCCATTGAGTGGGCTTTGTACTTTCTAGGAATGTAAATGGCTGTCCTAGGTTGTTGGTTGCTGAAAAAGCTAAAAATTTCCATGGCTCTGGTTGGTGTGGTTTTCATGATTTCTGGTATTTTGAGATATGTTGTTCTTTGAATTTGTTCTAGTTTGTGGATAGCTGTCAATTGTTGGGATTTAAATACGCAGACAACTGCACCGTATATTAGCATAGCATATGTCTCTATTCCCTCTTATTTTCAGTAATTTTTTCAAATTAATTTACCTAACGATTATAAAATATTTTTAATATTAAGGTTCAAAGTAATAATGGAAACTTTGTCTGAATAAATTATCTGAAGAAGTGTTACGTTGGCATTACATTACTTTCCAAATAACAGAATTGTCCTATTATATCGGTAGATGTTAGAAGTAACTTTTCTATATATAAGTATATTTTTGCAGAAAAAAAAGGCAGTTTTTTTATTGGTGTCTTTGGCTTCGACAACTTAAGTCATTAGCCTCGTGTTTTATGTAGATTATGGATTGTACTAGTAGTCTAATACTCCATAGTGCAGGAGTATTAGTACTCTAATACTCCTTCATCCCTACAGACAGGCCTTGTTACTGTTTCCTTGCACCACTTTAGGAACAGCACTGTCAATTAGAACCCAACAGTAAATGGTCGAGTGGGGAATCCTATTAAGGCATCAGAATTAATTTTAAATAAAAAAGGCAAATTTGATTTTAGTAAATTTCGAAAATTACATAATATAGTTGTAAATTCCTATTATAATATAATGCTAATTTATTCTAATTTACTACTTTATTGTAACTGTATTGCCATTTCACTTGTTAAGTTAAGTATTTATTAGCTCTAATTTTTAAGCATTTTGCATATTTTTTTATTTTTGTGTAAAATAAGTGCATATTTTAAATAAAAAAGATGCATGTATTATATGTGAATTATAATTAAATTTTACTGCATATAATTCGCTCTCTAGTAGTCCCTTAACATAAATACATTATTCATTTATGATGCGTTGTTATAAGAATTTGTGCAAATTTAAGGTTTTTTTTTTGTTATGGCTTAAATAGTTCAAAAAAAAATATTTCGAATATTATACTGTAAACAATGTTTTAATGGATTTTACCCGTTTAATTAGCCTTTTTTGAAAAAATTATAAAAACATGTTTTTTCTACACCCACATGGATATTGTCTATTCTATGAACAAACTACAGAACGAAAAAGTAGGGCATTGCGTTCAACTGAACGAATATATTTTATATCACTTCTAGTAAGGACACTGTACCGATATGAAATCCACCAATAACAGTTTATACTTGGTGACGAGTTACTGTTTTTTTTTATATTTTAAATAAGTGACTATTCAATCAAACTGATCTCTGGTGTATTTTTAAATTATTGAGATTACATATAATTAAAAGTGAGCGATTAATGTAAAGACTCGATAAATAATAGCATTTCACAAGATATTCTTCTATATTTACAAATAAATCGTAAATTTTAATAAAACTATATAAAGATAACTTATTTATGAGTAACACAAAAAAAATAACGCAATAGATAGAGTGATGACTTGCCATTTACACTCAGGGATTACCATTTGATGGATACTCATCTACAAATCTGTCTAGCAAATGAGTTAAGGTGGTGATTACAGCATCCTTTATAATTTTCGGACAAGATATCGCAAGAAGTAATTGTCTTAAACAATTAAAATTTTGGCAAAATAAATAAGGCAATAATATCTAAAATATGCATATGTTTTAAAGTTTTAAATACTACCAGTTTCAGAGAAAAAAAAAAAATAAAAAGGCTCTAAATTTTAAAATATCATAATGAAAATAAATCCTTTTCTCAACAGCACTATTCTTCCCAAAATTTAGGCTCTTAATGTCTTGTTAATGATTTTTTAAAATTTTCCAAAATTAGTGGCTAAAACGCTTCATTAAGTGCTATCTTCTGGTATAAACTGGGGTAAATCGTTGCAAGAAACGAATGATGACAAAGAGTGTACGATACGATAGTTACAGGTGCGTTACACAAGAAGGCAGCACTTAACGAGGCCTTTTAGCCACTAAGTAGCTTTAAAAGTTATAGAACAGTGTCACTGTCTATAAATCCTAAGAAGACAGAAATGGTCCTTTTCACAAGGAAAAGGATGAAAATGGAATTTAAACCTCCAGAACTCCTAAACACAAAACTAAACGCAACCTTTAGAAAACAGAGTTAAAAGAGCATACATTGTTTATGAACAATGCCGCCGAACCGTGAGGCGCACCTGGGGTTTCTCCCCTAGATTCGTCGCATGGACTGACACGGCTATCATAAGACTTATGCTAACATACGGTGCAGTTGTCTGGGTACCGAAAACTCAAAACTTAACAATTATCCGTAAACTAGAAAAAAATCAAAGAACAGCAGGTCACAACATAACAGGAACCATGAAAACAACACCGTCTAGAGCCATGGAAGTCATTCTTAGTCTCACTCCCCTTGATATTTACATCAAGGATGTTGCTCTGACAACAATGACACGCCTCCGAACGGTCGGAATAGAACATGATGTAGGATCTGGTGAGGCAAGACGTTACTTATGACAGGAGGCGCTCGATACGCTCCCACTGCTTCAAGCGAACATGGACTCCATCTCATCGAAATATATCTTTCATAAGCCACATAAAGTTATAATAGAACAAATAGAAGAGCCAGAAGTGGCAGTTACGATTCATATCTACACAGACGATTCTAAAATTTCTGATATAACATTTTTCTCTAATTCACAAACCAATGACTTTGGTATTACATAAATTTGTGTTATTCTTTATTACTAGGGAATTTAAAAATGAAGAGAAAAATATGTTGTTCAATTAAAAAAAAATTATCGACGTCAAGTACACGAAAGTGGTGACTTCATTAGTACATCCAATTGTAGCGTAAAACGCACAGTTGAAAATAATAATTGACCTATGAATGCATTTAGTTATAATAATGTTAGACAAAAAATATTGACGTTGACTGGAGAGTCATTGTCTCCCGTAATTTCGGATGCGACTTCGTCGTCGTTTAGGTCGGACATTACAGGGAAATAAGGGTCAATTACAGGAAAAAGTTACTATTAATTTGAACGAATATTTCGACACCCCCCGTATTCAGGTTCCAGCTGGCATTTGATTATCGCCGATCGGTCGACGGAGAGAACTGAACTGCTATATCTACCACGGTATCGAGGCGAAATTGTACGAAGAAAGCACTAAAATTTGGACAACAAATCCTTTGGATATTGGCGATCTCCGATCAAGTCGGTGTTCTCGAATCAGAGAAAAAAAGAAAAACATTCGGGGTCGCTTAAGAGTTAGTTGGTGATGGAAAATGGAAAGACATTGGAGATAGCAAGAAATAAAAAAAATAATACTCTTGCGAGAATAAATGAGCAACTAATGATAAAAATAAAACGTGGAGTGAGGAACGAACAATTAATTAGGTCTTCTTATAAGGAGACTAGATAGCGTCTTCGAAATTGATATACTTATAAATCAAGAACGAATCAAACCTCCGAAAAAGGAAATAAAATGTGCGGCTTCCCCAATGATAAAAAAATTACAAAATTGGGTTGAACCTCTCACTTCAACGTTAACTAGGGAATTTTTAAAGAAGATTGGATGATTCGTCGAAATTGAGACACTTATAAATCAAGCCTCAATCCAGCCTCAAGTAAAAATTGCCAACGGTTTCCCACTAAGGGGTGAAATAAAAACACTCTGAATATGAATCAAAAATCATCGATTAAATAAACGGATGTCCCAGAATAAATGTAAAGCTAAAATAAGAAAATTTTCTGCTTTGAAAAACGGGAATAACTCGGTCACTGATACACTTGGTCGTTGGGAAACAAACTTTTACTGTAACGGCAAATACTGCAGGAGTCAAAGATAATGAAATTTGACTTGTTCGTCTTATTTATGCCTTCTCAGCAGGCAAGCTTGAAGCCCGGCAATCTCGGAGTGGGAGATACCACCACCACATCCGACTGTTTACTAGTTCAAAAATGAAAAAATGTCCTGTTAGCACCTTGATAAATACAAGTAGATAATTGACATGAGATTGAATCTACAAACAGCCATTCGGATTTTGGCAACTACGTAAATATTTTAAACTACGAGGGTACTCGAAATTGTTTAAAATTCCTGAGATACACAAATATGAGGGCTCTTCGAAACGTTCCTGGACGGAAATTAATTAAAATATATATTTTTAAAATTAATCAAAAATAAAATTTAGTGACTTCGTCACACTATTCGTCCTCACTGTATGTAGCAGTTTATTGCAGGGACTACCCCGTAGAGCAAACACGTTTATTTATATACGTATTTATTTTCAGGTACATTTCTCATAACATACCACATAGCCATGTTTGTATGTGGTATTCCACTATTTTTTCAAGAAGTAACCATCGGACAGTATTTGGGATCAGGAGGAATGACTTTCGTGGGTCAACTGTGTCCCATCCTAAAAGGTGTAGGATACGCAACCATGACCATAGTGTTCCTATTAGATGTATATTATTGTGTGATAATTGCTTGGACTTTATTTTATATTTACAGTAGTTTAACAAGCGAATTGCCATGGTCTCATTGCGGTAAGTACTTTAACTTTTTTTGTCTATATTAGTCCATGTAGATTAGTACCTCGATTAGTACTACGAATTAAATAACCGTAAAATCGTTTTGCAATGTTGAATAAAACATTTTTTCCAAATAGTAAAAAAATGTAATATATTCCACAGCTAGTGTTCTAAAAGAATCAAAAGAACCAAAACTAAATTTATTTTTATGGCGACTTGACCATTCACAACATGAAACAATAGCCTCACGCGAAACTAATAAACCTTTGGCGCGTATTACAATAATGAACCATAATTCTATGGTTAGACAACTTTATATTTATAGAAGAGGTTTATTCCCTGGCTACTGGATGACAGTTGGTGAATCATTATTGAATATTACTATTAACAAATGATATGCCAACATGGCAAACATGTTATAAAATTATCATTAAAAACTTTGTTCTATTTAGGATTATTGTTTTCACATTTCCGATTATGATTACATTAATATTAAAATATGTTTGAAGAAAAGTATAATTTTGGACTAGTACCAGAATTAATGTATGTCAAAATTAAGGAATTTAAAGGTTATAAAAAGATAATCAAATTATTGTTTGGAAAAATGTACTTAGGACTGAGTAGGGCACCATAAAAATATCTTTATTTTACAAAAATACAAAATTGATCATAAGAAGACAAAGATTAGCTAGATTATTTTAATAATTTTTAAACTTATTTGAAAGTACAAACCCAGCAAACATTTTCGATATTATTAGCTATAACTCGACTTGGTAAAAGTCAAATCTACTCATTGAGGTAATTATTACTTAAAATTGACTAGAAAAATATACCTGTACTTTAAATTTACCAAATAGTTCTAATTTATGTATAAATTTACGTAAATTATACCAAGAAATCTACCTCGTACACATATTTGCTTAAAAGTAACTTTAACCAAATCAGAAATAACCAAAAATTACCTCAAAGGTAAATTTCCTTTAAAGTAAAATAAGGAATCATAATTACGTAACATCTACCTATTTGGTAGCTAAAAATCCTCTTTATAGTAGAATATCCTACTAGGTAGATTTGGTTAAACATTTTTCGTGACTTTATACCTATAAAGTAACCTATTTGGATGCTTTATTTACTCAACTTTAAAGTAATATTAAGTCTATTGTAAAAAAATTATACCTAGTTTTTCTACTTAATTTTAACCAAATAGTCGATTACTCATTTAGTTGATCTAAAAGTCATTCTAAATAAATAAATATTAACTTTATTGTAGCAATTACCTGAAAAATCTACTACAAAGTAATTTCGACTATAAACCACCAATTTAAAACCTAGCCATACATAACCTATTTGTAAAATTTATATTATTCAGGTTATTTTAACAATTAGGTTGTTCATTTATTGTCTTCGTTATTATTCTTGAAAATTTCGGCCATTTTATAAAACCGCTACTGTGGTAATCTTAATTCTTTTGTGGTATAGATAGAGCTAAAAATGAATGCAAAAAATAATAAATAATATCGTTAACTTTCGATTTTTTTCGTGATGTCAAACTTTTAAAATCTCAAGTGCTGTATAACGTGAAAAATTTACAAATTACTCCAGTATCCAGTAAATTGATTTGTCAACAAACGTTAAATAAAAATGTACACGTAATATAGTTGAAATTTACCAATAGGTAGCATTTCCTAAAATAGGAACCTAAATACCTGTCATATTTACCTATAGGTAAATTTTTGATAAAACTTACACGTTATTAATTCTTTAAATAGGTAAAGTTAACTAACATGTAAACTTTAAGGTAATTTAACTAAGTCAAAAGCTATTCGTAAAATACGTAGATTTCCATAGTCGTATTAACTTTTAAGTGGAATTAGCCCGACACCATATTTTCTTAACATAATTGAAGTACGATTCCAAAATTCAAATTTTTAAAATGAACTTAAATAGAAAAATGGATGAAAATTACAAAAAAAAAACATTATTGATTTTCTAAAGTAAAGTTTTAGCTCATAATATTATTATAATTTTTTTACATCATAATATTTCTTCTTATATTTTTTCTTATTAAAGAGTATTTTGTAGGGGCATTGTTATTTTTCAAAGTAGAACTGTTAACATGTACGACAAAATTTCCTTCGAGTTAATTTCAACAAACGTGACCAAATAAGTATAAAATTTATCTTTTTGTGCACTTGGAGTGATTCGTCATCTGAAAATCTTTGTAGTTTCTACCTAAAGCTGGTTAAATCAACGTCGAATTCACGTTATGCTGACGTCAAATTTACCTAGAGAAGTATTACTAACCAAACGTACTGGGCTATGGTACTGGGCTACTACAATGTGAATTTAGGCGTACTTCTACCTATTTTGGTCAATTAAACCAAATTTCGACGTCGTCTTATTCTCCACTTATGTCGAATTCACGTCGAGCCAACGTAAATTTTCCTTAAATATGGTTAAATCTAATTTTGCCACCAAATTTATTATACAGTGAGCATCATAAGTCTTACCCCCCCCCCCTAACTAACTCGTTACTGGGATCTTGTTAGGAAAATCGCCGAGACAGGTCGATTTTTGATTTCTACAATGTACATTTTTGCATGATTAGTTTATCCTTAATTTCATCCCTTACTGGAGGGTAGCAACTCTTTCGAAAAATTTAAATGGCATGGTGTGGTGAGTGATAGCTCATTTGAAAGGGGGTTTTATTCTCTATTCAACGGTGCAAAAATTTTTGAAATTTGCTTTATTACGTGTTGATTTATTAATGTTTAAAAATAACAAACCCTCACAAAATAGGAAAGCAACTAGACTAACAGTGACCTTCTAATGGCAAAAAGTCTTACTTCACGTCTGAACCAAAACCGAAATCATGCAGGGCCGAATTTTAATTCTAAGGATGAGTGCGCTACGTTAATTTCCGTTATTCTGAAACAACAATTAGTCGAGAAATAATGAAGCAAATTTCAAATTTTTTTACACGGTTGAATAGAGAATAAAACCCTCTTTCAAATGAGCTATCACTTACCACCCCATGCCATTTAAATTTTTTGAAAGGGTTGCTCCCCTTCAGTAAGGGATAAAATTAAGGGTAAACTATTTATACAAAATTGTACATTGTAGAAATCAAAAATCGCCGTGTCTCGGCGATTTTACTAACAAGACTCCTGTAACGAGTTAGATAGGGGGGGGGGGTGGGGTAAGACTTATGGTGCTCACTGTATATATATATTTTAGGTAGTCTCGACGTCAAATTAAACCAAAATGTTTGCTGGGCTATTTATTAGACCTGTTAATAAATACCTTCCTCTAGTCAAAAAATAGCTGGTTTGTGGGTTTTGTTAAAGAATATATCATCTGAGATAGATATTTTAAATTTGTATAACAGTTAAACTTTTTAAAAAAGTAAGTTTTATATACCAATTTAGCTGAATCAGTTAAAAATTCAACTTTTTATACTGAACTGATACAGCTAGCATTGTTCAGAATTTTTTATTTAGTTGAAATTATTACACGATTTACTGTACCAAATAAAAAAAATTTAATATTATAGTTATTTTTTTTAACTTCTCCTAATAATAATTTTGAGACAAAATTTCTAGCCGAGACTCTTTTCTCAGTGTAAGACTAAAAGCTATATTCTTCTCTGTCAACCAAAATGGACGAATCAACTTTGATAAAAAAAATGGTTAGTACATTGGAGATGTGATCGCTCAGTATGTTTATCTACTTTTTTTTACTAAACACTCTTTTAATTAAACAATATTAACTTCTTCAACAACGATTCCTTGTTTGCATTGCTCAAATTTAAACTAAATCGATAAAATCTGGTTCAAAAGAAGATTTAAATCTACTAAATTAATTTAGATTTTAGTTGCTCTCCTTCTAGGTTGACCTCGGTATTGAAAAACTTTTTTAAATATTTTCTTATGGATCGATATACTTTTACACTTTCAAATAATTTTTTTAAGGAAATCAATATTTTAAGAGCCAATATCACAGTAATTGAGTATAAAATATTATTATTTTAAAAGTTATTAAGTTAATAAAAAAAATTTTTTTTTGGTGGGTGCGCCATGGTAATTGGCTCTTAAAAAATTGGAGCATCTCTCTTAATTTCAGAAAAATGTCTTTTATTGATGTAAAACTTATTTACAACGACAAAAAGCGAACACATTACTTAAAACAGAATATGACCGTATCGCTGTTCTGTTAATCTATAAATTTCATTGTTTTTCGGGAAGAGAAAAAGTAATAGTAGGTACCTAACAGAAGTTTTTATGTGTCTTGTGAAATGATCCAGAATCAATATAATTATTATTTTTTATTAGAACACTTATGACAATGACAATCTCATAACATATGTCTCTCATTCAACCTATTTACAAATACAGGGTAATGTTACATTCCGGATATATCATCTCCCCTTTCTAAATTTCTTCTCCTTCATCTCCCTTTTTTTTAATTTTTATTAAAAATTTTCTATTCCTCTTTACTTCTCTGCCGTTGACTAATTTAATTGTAAAGTTTCTATATCTTCCTACCTCAATAATTTCTCCAATAGTGTTCCAAAGTTTGGTAATCGGGTCCTGTATTCTTACAGTGTCACCTATGTTTAATTTTGGTAGATCTTTTGCATGTTTGTTGTATATGTTCTTTTGGTATTCAATTTGATCTAGGGCTCTCTTCTCACACTTCTCTGCATCTATCTGCCACTCTAATGAAAATGATTTGGTATGAGCAGGTACTAAAGATCTTAATGGATGACCAAAAATCATTTGAGCAGGAGAACGACCGTTTGCTTTAGGTGTATTTCTCCACTCCAACAATCCCCAATAAAATGTGTCTTCATTTAAATTACCATTTTGTGTACATTTTTTAATTAAATTTTTCATCGCCTTTACTGCAGCTTCTGCATGCCCATTACTTTGAGCGTAATAAGGTGTAGAAGGACAATAAATAATTTTCCAGTTCTTTAAAAACTGTCTAAACTCGAATGAGCTAAATTGAGGACC